GGGCACCTGTAACCCCAGCTACTTGGGAGGTTGAGGCAGGAGAATCGCTTGAACCCGGGAGGTGGAGGTTGCAGTGAGCCGAAATGATGCCACTGCACTCCAGCCTGTGGGACAAGAGTGAAACTCCGTCTCAAACAAAAACAAAACAAAACAAAACCAGTACATGCCCCAAACTCTCTTTTTTTTTTTTTTTTTTTTTGAGACTGAGTCTCGCTCTGTCGCCCAGGCTGGAGTGCTGTGGCCGGATCTCAGCTCACTGCAAGCTCCGCCTCCCAGGTTCCCGCCATTCTCCTGCCTCAGCCTCCCGAGTAGCTGGGACTACAGGCGCCTGCCACCTCGCCCGGCTAGTTTTTTGTATTTTTTAGTAGAGTTGGAGTTTCACCGTGTCAGCCAGGATGGTCTCGATCTCCTGACCTCGTGATCCGCCCGTCTCGGCCTCCCAAAGTGCTGGGATTACAGGCTTGAGCCACCGTGCCCGGCCCCAAATTCTCAAAAATACTGCTTATTTAATCAATTGCAGCATTCTTCTCCCTCATTTTAGCATTTAAGAAATCCAGGCCGGGCACGGTGGCTCACGACTGTAATCCTAGCACTCTGGGAGGCCGAGGCGGGTGGATCACCTGACGTCAGGAATTCGAGACCAGCCTGACCAGCACGGAGAAACCCTGTCTCTACTAAAAATACAAAATTAGTCGAGTGTGGTGGCACATGCCTGTAATCCCAGCTACTCGGGAGGCTGAGGCAGGACCTAAAAATACTAAATTAGTCAGGTGTGGTGGCACATGCCTGTAATCCCAGCTACTTGGGAGGCTGAGGTAGGAGAATCACTTGACCCAGGAGGCAGAAGTTGCAGTGAGCCGAGATCGCAACATTGCACTCCAGCCTGGGCAACAAGAGCGAAACTCCATCTCAAAAAAAAAAAGAAATCCAGGCTAGGCACAGTAGCTCCTGCCTATAATCCCAGCACTTTGGGAGGCCGAGGAGGGCAGATTGCTTGAGGTCAGGAGTTCGAAACCAGCCTGACCAATATAGTGAAACCCCGTCTCTACTAAAAATACAAAAAATTAGCCTGCCTGTAGTCCTGGCTACTCAGGAAGCTGAGGTAGGAGAACTGATTGAACCCAGGAGGCAGAGGTTGCAATGAGCTGAGATCCTGCCACTGCACTTCAGCCTGGGCCACAGAGAGAGACTCCACTCAAAAAAAAAAGATAAAGAAAAAGAAAAGAAATCCAATGGGCCAGGAGCAGTGTCTCATGCCTGTAATCCCAGCACTTTGGAAGGTCGAGGTAGGAGAATCACTTGAACCCAGGAGTTTGAGGTTACAGTGAACTATGATTGTGCCACTACACTGCTACCTGGGCAACAAAGCAAGATCCTGTCTCAAACAAAAATGAAAGAGAGAAAGAGAGAGAGAGAAAAAGAGAGAGAGAGAGAGAGAGAAAGAAAGAAAGAAAGAAAGAGAGAGAGAGAGAAAGAAAGAAAGAAAGAAAGAAAGAGAAAGAGAAAGAGAGAAAGAAAAGGAAAGAAAGAAAGGAAGGAAGGAAGGAAGAAAGGAAGAAAGGTAAGCGATGTATTTCACAATTAATAGCATGCCATGGTTAACAGGCAGCATTCTTTCTTTCTTAGTGTACACGAAACACTGGTGTGAGTTATAATCGATGAGATTATATAACCGAGGCTTTAACTCAATGGCATGCGATAATTGCCAGGACTCATTTACAAACCCCTTCTCTAACTTAAAAACTGATCTCCTTGTCATATCCTAAGGACACTGGAAGCCCGTCAAAGGGTGTGTTAAAGTTTGTACTTTGATACTTCACATGAAAAATCATACACAAAGTAACTTGCTGGTGTCCATGAATCTTCAATCCACAGAAAGGACTTTGTTCTATTTCATTGTGACCTCACTCGAGTCTGGTTACACATTATGAACAGGTCACAGGTTATGAAATCATCTACTAACAACTTTAAAATGTATTGCACCACCCATTCAAAAACAAACACACACACACACACACGCACACACACACACACACACACAAACTTCTTTCCTGACATTTCTAGAAGGAATAAAATCTTACTAATTTTTTCAAATTTACAAACCCAACACAGGTATCAGTAACATAATCTTCTAGGAGTTACTCTATCTCAGTATCCCCACAGCCATGAGTTACACTTTAAAAACAAAAAAGACCATTTAGAAGTATGCTGATTTGAACTACCAAAAATAAATAAACAAAATTTTTACAGCTAAAACTGAGTGGAGCTCTGAGGAAAGTCCAAAGGACCAGAGTAAACCATTTCATCTTCACAAAAATAACCCAAGTCAAGCTGAATATCGACACCAAAGGCACAAAGGCAGTGACCATTATTACCATAAAGGCAGAACGTGCAATATATTCTATTTAGCTTGGTTCTAGTCTATATACCACTCATATGATTTAATCTTTACTGATGAAAATACTAGAGTTCCTTTAAAATGGAGAAACTGAAAGAGAAAATGCCTAGGAATAAATGTGAAAAAATGCTATAAGTCAAAATAATCTTGTACTAGGATCATGTAACAGTGTTTGTTTAGGTTAAGGTAAAAAAAGTCCTTTTTTTGTTTTTTGAGACAGAGTCTCTCTTTGTTGCCCAGGCTGGAGTGCAGTGTCACGATCTCGGCTCAGTGCAGCCTTCACCTCCCGGGTTCAAGGGATTCTCCTGCCTCAGCATCCCGAGTAGCTGGGACCACAGGAGCGCACCACCATGCCCGGCTAATTTTTGTATTTTTAGTAGAGAGAGGGTTTCACTATTTTGGCCAGGCTGGTCCACCTGCCTCAGCCTCCCAAAGTGCTGAGATTACAGGCATAAGCCACTGTGCCCGGCCCAAAATCCTTATTTTTATTTATTTTTACCGCTCCTTGTGGAGCAGGGTGGATCACGAGGTCAGGAGTTTGAGACCAGCCTGGCAACATGGAGAAACCCCATCTCTACTAAAAATACAAAAATTAGCCGAGCGTGGTGGTGGGCGCCTGTAATCCCAGTACTCCGGAGGCTGAAGCAGGAGAATGGCTTGAATTGGGGGGCGTGGTGGTTGGAGTGAGCCGAGATCGCACCACTGCACTGCAGCCTGGGCGACAGAGCAACACTCCATCTCAAAAAAACAAAAACGAAAACAAAAACAAACAAAAAACACAATAAAACACATGGTATGAAAAAAGGATATACTCTCTTCCACACTAGAACCAAGGGAGGTTTTTATGACATCTCTCTCATATGCACAAGACAACCATTCAAGCGCTGTCATCGATTCAGAACTACTGGGTTCTTAGACTTTCTATTCATTCAGAGGCGTGACTGATTATTCTTCATCCAGGTCCACACTACCATATAATATAATCTGCTACTGCTCCAAAATATTTAAATGGTCGTTCAACTAAAAAAAAAAAAAATCCTTCCAGATTCAGAATTTTAGCCGTCCTCGTTACAAAGAGCAAAATGATTCTGCATTCAAATCAGTCAAATTTGAGTTGCTTGGGCAGAATAATGCTTTTACAACATCCTTGAAACTGTACTCGAGAAAACTCCTGCATTTCCATTTATTATCAACATTCTACAAACACGTCATCCCACGAAAAGGCTTGGATACAAAAGTAATCACATTATTTTCCACACATATAACTTTATTTATTTATTTATTTTTTGAGACGGAGTCGCGCACTCTTGCCCAGGCTGGACTGCAGTGGCGGGATCTAGGCTCACTGCAGGCTCCGCCTCCCGGGTTCACGCCATTCTCCTGCCTCAGCCTCCCGAGTAGCTGGGACTACAGGGTACAGGGGCTCGCCACCACGCCCAGCTAATTTTTTGTATTTTTAGTAGAGACAGGGTTTCACCGTGTTAGCCAGGATGGTCTCGATCTCCTGACTTCGTGATCCGCCCGCCTCGGCCTCCCAAAGTGCTGGGATTACAGGCGTGAGACACCGCGCCTGGGCACATATATAACTTCATAAAGTGGCATGAAAATATGCCAGTTTGCATCTTCAAACGCCAAGCACGGTGGTGAAAGGCCACCACAGACAGCAGCTTTAAAGTTCAGGCTTAACAACACTTGCTCTGTGCTAAGGCATACCTACTTTTTAAACCACATAATTTCATCAGGGTCTGCGATGCCAAACTCCCTCATCTTCTTCACCATGATGGCACTTTTCCTGACAGCCACCTCATAACGCTGGCTGCGAGTGAGGAAGTTCAAGTCCTCATGCTGGAAGTCTGGGTCGTTCAGGATCATGTTCTCTGGAAGGGGGTTAAAGGGCATTAAAAGGCAGACAGACACTCGGGGCTCCGTTCCACCCTCCCTGAATCACAATAGGCTCCAGAGTCGCGGACACATCTCGGGAATGGCGATATCCCCCCACCAGGAACACAGGCTGTTCCTCGAAGTGGGGGTCCCGGCTCCCCTAACGCTGGGCGACAGGGCCTGGGCCCCATAGCGCCCCTGACTCCGCATCGAGGGAGTCTCCAGGTTTTCTCAGGAAAGGAGGGAGGTCTCGCCCGCCGCCCTCACCGATCTCTCGGCGGCGCCGGGTGTTCTCGGGACTGCCGTCCAGGATATGTGTAAGCAGCTCCGGGTTGAAGCTGGCGGAATCCCGCTCCCTGCGCAGGTCCGGGTTCATGGCGACGACCAGCTGGCAGCGAAGTAAGCACCGACGGAGGTGGCAGTGACAACCTAAACCCGCAGCTCCAGCGCCGGCCGGGCCCTATGAGGCAGCCTCAGAAGCGCGCAAGTCCCCGCCTCCGCTCGCCCGGCCCGCCCCTTCTTTCTCCGAGGCCCTTCGGCGCGTGAGTGACAACCGCCCAGACAGAGGGGGCGATGTCCGCGGCGTGACTGGGGCCGGTCGCGGGGCAGACGAATCCTCTGCTCCTGGCCAGGGGAGGCTCCCGAGCGGATCCTCGGGAAAGGGGCTCCAAAGGTCAAGAAATTGCCCCGCGGGGCGTTCGGGGAGAGGGAAAGTAAAGCACTTTTTGTATCCCGCCACCTCTCCCGTCACGTGACCACGCGGGGCGGAAAGAGGAAATCCGAGGACCCGGCGACGCCCAGAACAGGTTGGGGGCCTTGGGAAGGGGCGGGACAACGAGGCTGAGGAGGGACTGCGCCTGCGCTTGCCGCCCCCCGCCCCGCCCGCCCGACTTCTCCCCGCTTCCGGGTCTGTGTCTCTAGGCATCTCTGAAATGAGAGGGGTCGGGGAGACTCAGGAACCTGGAGTGGGAGACTGGCTTTGCGGAATTGCTAGGGAGGGTCATTTGGGCTTTTGCCAAATCCACCCGGATTGGAGGAGAATGGGACGGGAACCAAAGTCTCTTTGGGGAGAGGCTCTAGTTACCTTTTGTTAAAATAATGACGTCTTTATTGGCAGAGGCGTGGGCTCCGGGGCCCTGGGTGTGGGATTGTGAGCGCTGCCCGCTGTTTAAGGGGTGGACGCGGACTTAGAATGAGGCCGAGCGGGCAGTGCTGCTGTAAGCCTTCTATCTGGGAAAGCCGACATTTTTTTCCCCCCAACCTCGCAGTTACTAGAGGTCTTGGAATCCAGACTTCTTTGCTTTCGCCATTATCGTCATCAAAGTGGGAAATGCACACTTAAATACTGTTAAAACCTAGTGTAGGGCCGGGCGCCGTGGCTCAAGCCTGGAATCCCAGCACTTTAGGAGGACGAGGCAGGCGTATCACTTGAGCCCGGGCGTTGAAGATCAGCCTGGGCAACATGGCAAAACCTCATCTCTACAAAAAATACCAAAAACTTAGCTGGGTGTAGTGGCATGCGCCTGTAGTCCCAGCTACTCTGAAGGCTGAGATGGGATGGTGGCTTGCGCACCGGAGGTGGAGGTTGCAGTGAGCCAAGATTGTGACATTGCACTCCATCCTGGACAACATAGTGAGACCCTATCTCTACAGGAAAAAAAAAAAAAACAGAAAACAAAAAACAATTCTGCCCAGTGGGATTGTGGACAAGGGAGATTCACGGATTTGTTGAACCATCTCTAGTCACTGTTTTTTTTTTGTTTTTTTTTTCTTGAGACAGAGTCTCGCTCTATCGCCCAGGTTGGAGTGCCGTGGTGCGATCTCGGCTCACTGCAAGCTCCGCCTCCCAGGTTCACGCCATTCTCCTGCCTCAGCCTCCCAAGTAGCTGGGACTACAGGCGCCCGCCACCACACCCGGCTAATTTTTTGCATTTTTAAAAGTAGAGACGGGGTTTCACCATGTTAGCCAGGATGGTCTCAATCTCCTGACCTCGTGATCCACCCGCCTCGGCCTCCCAAAGTGCTGGGATTACAGGCGTGAGCCACCGCGCCCTGCCTTTTTTTTTTTTTTTTTTTTTTTGAGACGGAGTCTCACTCTGTTGCCCAGGCTGCAGTGTGGTGGTAGGTGGTATGATCTCAGCTCATTGCACCCTCCACCCCTGGGTTCAAGCGATTCTCCTATCTCAGCCTCCCAAGTAGCTGGGATTACAGGGGCTCGCCGCCACACCCAGCTAATTTTTGTATTTTTAGTAGAGACAGGATTTTGCCATATTGGCCAGGCTGGTCTCGAATTCCTGACCTCAGTTATCCACCTGCCTTGGCCTCCCAAAGCGCTGGGATTACAGGCGTGAGCCGCTGGGATTACAGGCGTGAGCCGCCGCGCCTAGCCTGTCTGCAGTCTGTGTAATACTATGACTTTGGTTTTCTCAGAAGTAAAACTACAAAGATGCATAACATTCATCATTTGAATAATAGAACTATAATACACACTCTTAACCCCTAGGACCTCAGGATCCTCATTTGTCTTATTAAGGTGCTGATCTCAGGCCCCTTCAACAGCGGGGAGAGTGTCTAGTTATTCTTTGTACCTGGCACAGTGCCTGCCCCACTAAAGGTGCTCAGGAAATCTTTGTGGCGTGAACAAATGGCTACTTGACAGCTGACCTTCTAGGTCTAGTATTCTAGGAAACCAATTGCTCTTAATGTAATGATAGTGGGGGTACTCAGCATTGAATAGAAAAGACTTAGATGAGCTAAATTTGGTGAGTTTTATTTTGAAATAATTTCAAATTTACACGAGAATTACAAGACTAGAACAAAGAACTTTTCTTCTGTTACTTTAACACTTTTTTTTTTTTTTTTTGAGATGATGTCTTCCTCTGTCACCCAGGCTGGAGTGCAGTTGCATGATCTCAGCTCACTGCAACCTCCGCCTCCTGCGTTCAAATGATTCTCATGCCTCAGCCTCCCAAGTAGCTGGCACTACAGGAATGCGCTACCACACCTGGCTGAGTTTTGTGTGTTTGTTAGAGGCAGAGTTTCACCATGTTGACCAGGCTGGTCTCAAACTCCTGGCCTCACGTGATCCGCTTGCCTCAGCCTTCCAAAGTGTAGAGATTACAGGTGTGAGCCACCGCGTCTGGCTGGCTGACATTAACACTTTTGAAGCGTATAAGCCCATTTTTTTGTAGTTTTGGATCTCAGAAAACAATACCCCAAAATGAAGGCCTCAGAAGCAACCCACAAAGCAAGTTTTTTTTTTACCTTCTGCCCTCCTCTCCCTCAGGCCCATTCTCCCCCAAGGCTAGCCAGAGACGTTAGAATCCGCTTCCCCAAGGCGGGTCATAGAAAACAGAGTCCTTTGCCCCCAAAGCCAGCCATAAAACCCTAAATATAGGCTGAGTGCGGTGGCTCACACCTATAATCCTGGCACTTTGGGAGGCCAAGGCAGGTGGATCACGAGGTCAGGAGATCAAGATCATCCCGGCTAACACAGTGAAACCCCGTCTCTACTAAAAATACAAAAAAAAATTAGCTGGGCGAGGTGGCACTTCCCTGTAGTCCCAGCTACTCGGGAGGCTGAGGCAGGAGAACCGCTTGAACCCGGGAGGCAGAGGTTGCAGTGAGCCGAGATTGCACCACTGCTTTCCAGCCTGGGCGACAGAGTGAGACTCCATCTCAAAAAACAAAAAACAAAACAAACAAACAAGAAACCTAAATATATTACTCTTAACTTTCCCTCCATCTTTTGGTATAAAAACTGGCCAGAAAGAAATTATCTGACCTACCTTGTTGGACTATAGGCCACAAGACCCCATTCCAGAGAGGGTCCTGCTCCACACCCAGAAGGAGGGAATGCTGCTCCAAGAAGCCAAGAAGAATCTAGACAGGCCTTGCTGGGCCTCCCCACTCAGTCTATCAGCATTAGATCCTACCTTTCCCCTGTATTTTTGGGGCTTCCTTCTGAGGGCTCCCACATGTACATGTTACATAAATGTGTACACCTTTTTGACCATTACTCTGCCTTTTGCAAGTTGACTTTTTGCCGTGAAACTTCAGAGGGCCGCTTGGCCCCTGCAGTAGAATGTCGCATAATTCAGATTTGTCTGATATTTATTCATGATTAGATTCAGATGATGCATTTTTGGCAGGAATACCACACAAGTGATTAATAGGAGAAAAGGCATACACATGTATTTGATCATAGTTTTGCTTTGTTTCGTTTTGTTTGAGACAAAACTCTGTCACCCAGACTGGAATGCAGTGGCTCAACCATAGTTCACTGCAGCCTCAAAGTCTTAGGCTCAAGCATTGATCATAGTTTTATTTACTTATTTATTTGTTTATTTATTTATTTTTTCAGACAGAGTCTCGCTCTGTCGCCTAGGCTGGAGTGTTGTGGAGATCTCGGCTCACTGCAGCCTCTGCTTCTCCGGTTCAAGCAATTCTCCTGCCTTAGCCTTCCTTGTAGCTGGGATTACAGGCGCCCGCCATCATGCCTGGCTAATTTTTGTATTTTTAGTAGAGACGGTGTGTCACCATGTTGGCCAGGCTAGTCTTGAACTCCTGACCTCAAGTGATCTGCCTGCCTTGGCTCAAAAAAAAAAAGAAAGAGACCGGGTGAGGTGGCGGCTCACACCTATAATCCCAACACTCTGGGAGGCCGAAGTGGGTGGATCACCTGAAGTGAGGAGTTCATGACCAGCCTGGCCAACATGGTGAAACCCCGTCTCTACTAAAAATACAAAAATTAGCCGGGCATGTTGGCACGCGCCTGTAGTCCCAGCTACTCAGGAGGCTGAGGCAGGAGAATCGCTTGAACCTGGGGGGTGGTGGTTACAGTGACCCTGAGAACCTGCCACTGCACTCCAGCGTGGCAGACAGAGTGAGACTCCATCTCAAAAAGCAAGAAAAAAGTATAATCAGGCCGGTCGCGGTGGCTCAAGCCTGTAATCCCAGCACTTTGGGAGGCCGAGAGGGGCGGATCACGAGGTGAGGAGATCGAGACCATGGAACCCTGTCTCTACTAAAAAAAATACAAAAAAAAAAACTAGCCGTTCCCGGTGGCGGGCGTCTGTAGTCCCAGCTACTCGGGAGGCTGAGGCGGAAGAATGGCGTAAACCCGGGAGGCGGAGCTTGCAGTGAGCTGAGATCTGGCCACTGCACTCCAGCCCCGGCGACAGAGCGAGACTCCATCTTAAAAAAAAAAAAAAAAAGGTATAATCATTATACCAGCAAACTCCTCCCTCGGTGAGAGTTGCATAGCCACCCCAGCATCCTCCTCACCCCTTTTTCCCCAGATCCACCAGAAAAACAGGAACATCTAGTGGGGACACTCCTTTAGTCCCCTCATGTTAGTGAGCACACACTCGTGTACACCAGCCCTTCGTAATTTTTATCTCCCTCTGTTTTAGACAATGAATGTTTTCATAGCCTGTGCCACTTCTATAACCACCTGATGGGTTCCTGCAGCACAAACAAAATCAGTTCATGGAGAACATGGCGTTACAGTCAAGAAAGAGTTTAATTGACACAAGGCTGGCCACACCACATGGGAGTTGGTATTATTAGTCAGTCTCCTGGAAGGCTCAGAGATTAGAGGTCATTTAAATGTAATTTTGGGAAAGGGGTGGTGGCAGCTAGGCAATGGTGCTTGCTGCTGATTGGTTGGGGGTGCAACCTTAGGGGTGTGGCAAATGGTCCTCCTGCAGGCTGAGTCACCTCTGAGGGGGGGCCCCGCAGGAGTGGTTGGTGGGGTCCATGTGGAGTTGGTGGTGTCAGACATGCAAAAAACCTGAAAAGATATCTCCAAAGGCCAATCTTAGATTCTGCAGTAGTGATGTTATCTGCAGGAGTAACTGGGGAAGTTGCCTAGCTTGTGACCTCTGGAATAATGGCTGGCAGTCTTCGCAGAATTCGGGCTTCTCTGTGCTCCTAGCCTGGTGGTCTCTCATTAGCTTTACAAAAGTGGCTGCGTTTTAGGGAAGGGCTATTTTCATTTAAACTATAAACTAAATATCTCCCAAAGTTAGCTTGGCCCAACCCCGGGAATAATTAAGGGCAGCTTAGCAGCCAAAGGCAAGAGGGGAATTGGCTAGATCAGATCTCCCCCTCTCCCCTGCTGCCCTAATTCTCTCACTGATGCAATTTTTGCAAAGGACATCTTACTTCTCTATCAAAATATGACTCTGAGGAGATCTTTTTGCTCATCGTTGGACATTATGGGCTGTATAGTGTGTTCCTTGTTCTGAAGAAATAATGGTTGGCTTTCCAAATCTGTGCACCGTCTCTTGTTCTGCTTTTTCATTTTTTTTTTTTTTATTTAATTTTGCTTTTGTGAGCGTCTCACTCTGTCACCAAGGTTGGAGTGCAATGGTGCAATCATAGTTCACTGCAGCCTCGACCTTGCAGGCTCAAGCGATCCTCCTATCTCATCCTCCCAAGTAGTTGGGATTATAGGCATGCAGCACCATACCCGGCTAATTTTTATATTTTTAGTAGCGACAAGGTTGCCCTCAGACTCCTGAGCTCAAGTGATCTGCCCGCCTCAGCCTCCTCAAGTGCTGGGATTATAGGCATGAGCCACCGCGCCCGGCCTTGTTCTGATTGTTTTGAAGCATTTGTAGCTTCCAGCAGGTAAGCAAAGCCCAGTCCAGAGTCACTGTCTGTTCCTATCAAGGAACAGAGTTCCGTGGTACTGCCCCAGGGCTACCAGCATGAGTCTCACTTGCCAGCTATGATCAGGACCTTCCACGATGTGATCTGCACCATAGCCACAGGCAGTCTCTGTCTCTTTTACTGACAAACAACAGTTCTTCCTGGCACTATGTGCCTGAGAGGGTTCAAGAGGAACGTGTTCATGAAAAAAGTCAAATGCGGCAAGGCGCGGTGGCTTACGTGTGTAATCCCAGCACTTTGGGAGGCCAAGCTGGGTAGATCACCTGAGGTCAAGAGTTCGAAACCAGTCTGACCAACAGGGTGAAACCCTGTCTCTACTAAAAAAAATTACAAAAATTTGGCCAGGCGCGGTGGCTCAAGCCTGTAATCCCAGCACTTTGGGAGGCCGAGACGGGTGGATCACGAGGTCAGGAGATCAAGACCATCCTGGCTAACACGGTGAAACCCTGTCTCTACTAAAAACTACAAAAAACTAGCCGGGCGAGGTGGCGGGCGTCTGTAGTCCCAGCTACTCCGGAGGCTGAGGCAGGAGAATGGCGTAAACCCGGAAGGCGGAGCTTGCAGTGAGCTGAGATCCGGCCACTGTACTCCAGCCTGGGCGACAGAGCGAGACTCCGTCTCAAAAAATAAAAAAAAAAAAATTACAAAAATTAGCCGGGCATGGTGGCAGGCGCCTGTAGTTCAACTACTCGTGAGGCTGAGGCAGGAGAATCTCTTGAACCTGGGAGGCGGCAGTTGCAGTGAGCCAAAATTGCACCATTGAACTCCTGCATGACAGAGCAAGACTCTGTCTCAAAAAAAAAAAAAAAAAAAATTAGCTGGGTGTGGTGGTAGGTGCAGCTGAGGCAGGCAAATCGCTTGAACCCCAGAGGCAGGGACTGCAGTGAGCCGAGATCATGCTGAGATGGAGTTGTTCCCTTGACCCCTTTGGTTCCCTGGTTGGGAACTGGAGTGACTCGTTTCACTCAGCCTGCCACTGGCCATTCCTCAAGAGAGGGAGCATGGGAGCAAGCAAGTGCAGCAACAGGATGGAACGAACCAGCCCATCGCTCCTCTCTGGCGGGAGCAGGCTCTGTGCAGAGCCCGCAGCAGCATCCAAGCCTGTGCCTCTCAGCACCCGGTTCTTGTCTGGCATCCAGGAAGAATCAGGTCACACAAACAGATTGAAGGGTAGTGTATGCTGAGGATTTTATAGGGTGATAGCTCTTAGAGGGATGGGAGTTGGAAAGGGGATGGTATGGGAAGAAGGCGATCTTTCCCTGAAGTTGCACCGTTTGAAGTTAGCTGCTTCTGTCTGTAGCCTCTGACTCACAGTTGCTGCTTCTCTGCTCACTGCTCAGCAGCTTGTATCCCCGACCATCAGCCCCAGGGAGAGGCCCCATAAATATGGGGTCATATCTATGATGGGACACCAGCCCTACCAGGCAGGCAACAGAGCAAGACTCTGTCTCAAAAAAAGTAAAAAAAAAAAAAAATGGCCCGGCTGCGGTGGCTCACGCCTGTAATCCCAGCACTTTGGGAGGCTGAAGCGGGTGGATCCCAAGGTCAGGAGATGGAGACCATCCTGGCTACCATGGTGAAACCCCGTCTCTACTAAAAATACAAAAACATTACCCAGCATGGTGGGGGGCACCTGTAGTCTCAGCTACTCGGGAGGCTAAGGCAGGAGAATGGTGTGAACCCGGGAGGCAGAGCTTGCAGTGAGCCGAGATCACGCCACTGCACTCCAGCCTGGGCGACAGAGTGAGACTCCATCTCAAAATAAATAAATAAATAAATAAATAAATAAATAAATAAATAGTTGAAGGCAGACAGATGTGGTGGTATGCACCTGTAGTCCCTTGGGAGACTGAGGCAAGGGGAATCACTTGAGTCCAGGAGTTTGAGGCTGCAGTGAGCTATGATCCCACCAGTGCACTCCAGCCTTGGTGACAGAGTGAGACCTTGTACAGGCACATGCCACATACACACATTTGGGTCAATGACAGAGCGCGTATACACAGTGGCCCAAAAGATTATATAACACCATATTTTTTACTATTGACCATTTTTTACCATTTTCTCTCCTATGTTTGCTTATGTTCAGATATACAGATACCATTGTGCTACAGTTGCCTCCAGTGTTCTGTACAGCCACACGTGGTACAGGTTGATAGCCTGCGAACAATAGGCTCCACCATACAGCACCAGGGCTGCAGTAGGCTGTGCCATCTAGGTTTGTGTAAGTACACAGTGATGTTCACACAATGATGAAATCACCTAACTGCATTTCTGAGAACACATCTCTGTTATCGTTTTTTTTGTTGGAGGCTGGAGTGCAGTGGCGTGATCTCGGCTCACTGCAAGCTCCGCCTCCCGGGTTCATGCCATTCTCCTGCCTCAGCCTCCGGAGTAGCTGGGACTACAGGCGCCCGCCACCTCGCCCGGCTAGTTTTTTGTATTTTTAGTAGAGACGGGGTTTCACCATGTTAGCCAGGATGGTCTCGATCTCCTGACCTTGTGATCCGCCCGTCTCGGCCTCCCAAAGTGCTGGGATTACAGGCTTGAGCCACCGCGCCCGGCCACGGACTTTTTATTTATTTATTTATTTATTTATTTATTTTTATTTTTTGAGACGGAGTCTCGCTCTGTCACCCAGGCTGGAGTGCAGTGGCCGGATCTCAGCTCACTGCAAGCTCCGCCTCCCAGGTTTACGCCATTCTCCTGCCTCAGCCTCCGGAGTAGCTGGGACTACAGGCGCCCGCCACCTCACCCAGCTAGTTTTTTTTTGTATTTTTTAGTAGAGACAGGGTTTCACCGGGTTAGCCAGGATGGTCTCGATCTCCTGACCTCATGATCCGCCCATCTTGGCCTCCCAAAGTGCTGCGATTACAGGCTTGAGCCACCGTGCCCGGCCCACACATAGCTTTTTAATTTTGCTTGTTTGTTTGTTTGAGACGGAGTTTTGCTCTTGTTGCCCAGGCTGGAGTGCAATGCCGCAATCTCGTCTCACCGCAACCTCCGCCTCCCAGGTTCAAGCAATTCTCCTGCCTCGCCCTCCCTAGTAGCTGGGATTACAGGCATGTGCCACCACACCCCGCTAATTTTGTATTTTTAGTAGAGTCGGGGTTTCTCCATGTTGGTCAGGCTGGTCTCAAACTCCTGACCTCAGGTGATCCGCCCTTCTCGGTCTCCCGAAGTGCTGGGATTACAGGCATGAGCCACCGCGCCCAGCAGCTTTTTAAATATTGCTTTGGTTTGTTATTATTTTGAGACAGGGTCTTACTCTGTTGACCAGGCTAGAGTGTAGTGGTGTGATCATAGCTCACTGCAGCTTCAACCTCCTGTGGTGAAGTGACGCTCCTGCCTCAGCCTCCTAAGTTGCTAGGACTACAGGTGAGAGACACTACACCTGGCTAATTTTTGTATTTTTTTTGTAGTGATGGGGTGTTGCCGTGTTGCCCGGGCTGGTCCCGAATTCCTAGTCTCAAGGGATCCACCCGCCTTGGCCTCCGAAAGAGCTGGGATTACAGGCATGAGCCACTGTGCCTGGCCTAATGTTTTAATTTTTTCATAGAGATGAATTCTCACTATGTTGTCAGGGCTGGTCTATGTTTGTTTGGTTTCGGTTGTTTTGCTTTGTTTTTTTGAGATGGAGTCTTGCTCTTGTTGCCCAGGCTGGAGTGCAATGGCACGATCTCGGCTCCCTGAAACTTCTGCCTCCTGGGTTCAAGTGATTCTCCTGCCTCAGCCCCCCAAGTCGCTGGGATTACAGGCATGCGCCACCATGCCCGGCTAATTTTGTATTTTTAGTAGAGACAGGGTTTCTCCATGTTGGTCAGGCTAGTCTTGATCTCCCGGCCTCAGGGGATCCACCTGCCTCAGCCTCCCAAAGTGCTGGGATTACAGGCGTGAGCCACTGCGCCCGGCCGTGGTTTGTTTTTGTTTGTTTGTTTGTTTTTAATACATGAATGCATATTATATCAATTATTTATTTATTTATTTATTTTGAGACAGCATCTTGCTCTATCACCCAGGCTGGAGTACAGTGGCACGATCTTGGCTCATCACAACCTCCACCTCCTGGGTTCAAGCAATTCTCCTGCTCCAGCCTCCTGAGTAACTGGGATTACAGGCGCACGCCACCAGCTAATTTTTGTATTTTTAGTAGCGATGGGGTTTCACCATGTTGGTCAGGCTGGTCTCAAACTCTTGACCTCGTGATCCACCTGCCTCGGCCTCCCAAAGTGCTGGGATTATAGGCATGAGCCACCGTGCCTGGCAAAATTTTTTTTTTTAATTTTAAAACACTGCTCACTGGAATTAGTCTTCAAGATGCTGTTGGTCTCATATATCTGCTAATCTCTGTTTTGCAGTCTATTTGATTTATCAGGAAACTTCAAAATCCATCTCAACTGTTTGGTTATAGGAGCCCATGATGCTGCCCAAACCTGGGACCTATTACCTCCCCTGGGAGGTCAGTGCAGGCCAAGTTCCTGATGGGGGCACACTGAGAACATTTGGCAGGTGAGAATGGTTTTTTTTATTTTTTTCACTGGTGGGGGTGATGGTTAAATGTCTTTCTCTACCCCCCCCAAAAAAAAAAATAGTTAGGGCTGGGCGCGGTGGCTCATGCCTGTAATCCCAGCACTTTGGGAGGCTGAGGTGGGTGAATCACCTGAGGTCGGGAGTTTGAGACCAGCCTGACCAACATGGAGAAACCGTGTCTCTACTAAAAATACAAAATTAGCCTGGCATGGTGGCGTGTGCCTATAATCCCAGCTACTCGGGAGGCTGAAGCAGGAGAATTGCTTGAACCTGGGAGGTGGAGGTTGCAGTGAGCTGAGATTGTGCTATTGCACTCCAGCCTGGGGGACAGGGTGAGACTCTGTCTCGAAAAAAAAAAAAGAGAGAAAGTAGTATTTTAACCTAGGCCGGGTGCGGTGGTTCACGCCTGTAATCCCAACACTTTGGGAGGCCAAAGTGGGCGGATCACCTGAGGTCAGAAGTTCAAAACCAGCCTGGCCAACATGGTGAAACCCCGTCTCTACAAAAAATACCAAAATTAGCCAGGCGTGGTGGCAGGCGCCTGTAATCCCAGCTATTTGGGAGGCTGAGGCAGGAGAATTGCTTGAACCCATGAGGCAGAGGTGGCAGTGAGCCAAGATCACGTTCCAGCCTGGGTGACAAGAGTGAAATTTGGTCTCAAAAAAAAAAAAAGTATTTTGACCTAGTTAAAGGCTGGGTGTGGAGGCTCACATCTGTGATCCTAGCACTTTGGGAGGCTGAGGTGGGAGGATTGGTTGAGTCCAGGAGTTTGAAACAAGCCTGGGCAACATGGTGAAACCCTGTCTCTACAAAATATACAAAAATTTAGCCAGGCATGGCAGTGTGCGCCTATAGCCTCAGCTACTGGGGAGGCTGAGGTGGGAGGATCACCTGAACCTGGGAGGTCTAGGCTGCAGTGAGCTGAGATTGCACCACTGCACTCCATCCTGGATGACAGAGTGAGATCCTACCTCAAAAAAAAAAAAAAAGGAAAGAAAAAAAAGAAGAAAGCAGTGTTTTAACCTAGATGAGATCCTATTGTATTACTATACTGTAGCATTTATTTAGTTAGCTGTGTATGGTAGACCTAGTTCGATGTCAGACATGTAGATCTCCATCATCATTTTGAATAGTTCCATTTTGTTTCACTGTGGTGATATTGCATCATTTACTAAGCCAAATCTTTTTTTTTTTTTTTTTTTTTTTTGAGACAGAGTCTCACTCTGTCGCCCAGGCTGGAGAGTGCAGTGGCGTGATCTCGGCTCACTGCAACCTCTGCCTCCTGGGTTCAAGCGATTCTCCTGCCTCAGCCTCCTGAGTAGCTGGTATTACAGGCCCCTGCCACCACACTCAGCTAATTTTTTTTTTATTTTTTAGTAGAAATGGTATTTCACCATCTTGGCCAGGCTGGTCTTGAACTCCTGACCTCGTAATCCACCCGCCTCGGCCCCACAAAGTGCTAGGATTACAGGCTTGAGCCACCGCGCCCAGCCTACTTAGCCAATATTTTATTGATTTTCTTTCTTTCTTTTTTTTTTTTTTGAGACAGAGTCTCGCTCTGTTGCCCAGGCTTGAGTGCAGTGGCATGATCTTGGCTCACTGCAAGCTCCGCCTCCCGGGTTCATGCCATTCTCCTGCCTCAGCCTCCCGAGTAGCTGGGACTACAGGCGCCCGCCACCTCGCCTGGCTAGTTTTTTGTATTTTTTAGTAGAGACAGGGTTTCACTGTGTTAGCCAGGATGGTCTCGATCTCCTGACCTCGTGATCTGCCCGTCTCGGCCTCCCAAAGTGCTGGGATTACAGGCTTGAGCCACCGCGCCCGGCCATTTTTGTATTTTTTTAAGTAGAGATGGGATTTCATCATGTTGGCCAGGATGGTCTCCATCTCGACCTTGTGATCTGCCTGCCTCAGCCTCCCAAAGTGCTAGCATTACAGGCGTGAGCCACCATGCCCGGCTTTATTGATTTTCAATAAAGACATCAGGGTAATTCAGTAGGGAAAGGATAGTCCTTTCAACAAGTGGAGCTACTAGATATTGACACTGTGTCGCCCAGGCTGAAGTGCAAGTGGCATGATCATGGCTTATAGCAGCCTTGACCCCTCAACCTCCCAAGTAGCTGAGACCACAGGCGTGCACCACCGTACCTGGCTAATTAAAAAAAAAAAAAAAAATTTTTAGAGATGGCGTCTCGGTCTGTTGCCCAGGCTGGTCTCTAACGCCTGGGCTCAAGCAATCCTCTTGCCTCGGCCTCCCAAAGTGCTAGGATTACAGATGTGAGCTACCATGCCCAACCTATATATATATATATATATATTTTTTTTTTTTTTTTTTTGAGATGGAGTCTTGCTCTGTTGCCCAGACTGGAGTGCAGTGGTATGATCTCAGCTCACTGCAGCCTCTACCTCCTGGGCTCCAGTGATCCTCCTGTCTTGGCCTCCCAAGTATCTGGGACCACAGCTGCATGCTACCATGCTTGGCTAATTTTTTATATTTTTAGTAGAGACAGGGTTTCAACATGTTGCCCAGGTTGGCCTTGAACTCTTGGACTCAAGCGATCCACCTGCCTTGGCCTCCCAAAGTGCTGGGATTACCAGCATGAGCCACTACGCCCAGCTAGATATTAATATGGTAGGGGAACATCTTGATCTCTACTTCACAACATGCCAAAAAGAATTTACACTGTGTCATAGATTACAAGCTAAGACTGCACTGTCTCAAGAAAACAGGATACAACCTTGAGTAGGCAAAGTGGTTGTTTTTTTTTTTTTTTTTTTTTTTTTAATAGCGTTTATAGCCCATATTGAAAAAGAAAAGATGGCCAGGCACAGTGGCTCATGAGTGTAATCCCAGCACTTTGGGAGGCTGAGGCAGGTGGATCGCTTGAGCCCAGGAGTTTGAGACCAGCGTGGACAACATAGCAAAACTCCATCTGTACAAAAAGTTAAAAAATTAACCAGGTGTAGGCCAGGTGCGGTGGCTCATGCCTGTAATCCCAGCACTTTGGGAGGCCAAGGCGGGCGGATCATAAGGTCAGGAGATCGAGACCATCCTGGCTAACGTGGTGAAACCCCATCTCTGCTAAAAATAGAAAAAAATTAGCCGGGCGTGGTGGTGGGCACCTGTAGTCCCAGCTACTCGGGAGGCTGAGACAGGAGAATGGCATGAACCCAGGAGGCAGAGCTAGCAGTGAGCTGAGATAGTGCCACTGCACTCCAGCCTGGGCAACAGAGCGAGACTCCATCTCCAAAAAATAAATAAATAAAAATTAGCCAGGTGTGGTGGCAAGTACCTATAGTCCCAGCTACTCAGGAGGCTGAGATGGGAGGATTGCTTGAGCAGCCTGGAAGATCAAGGCTGCAGCCTGGGATACAGAAAAAAAAAAAAAAAAAAGAAAGGAAAAAAAAAAAGAAGAAACAAAAAAAAGAAAAAAAAAGGGGGGTGTAACTAATAGCATTTGACCAAGGACACGATCAGATCGAAAGGCAAAAATGATCTCACTAAAAAACAAAAAAAAAAGCGGTGGCGGCCCACAGCTACCAGAGGGAGGAAAGGAACCCGGAGCGGGCTTGCAGTGGCGAGATCGAGCACTGCACTCCGCCTGGCGACAGAGCGAGACTCCGCCTCAAAAAAAAAAAAAAAAAAAAAAAAAAGGTCGGGTGTGGTGGCTCATGCCTCTAATCCCAGTACTTTGGGAGGCTGTGGTGGGTGGATCACTAGAGGTCAGGAGTTGGATACCAGCCTGGACAACATGGTAAAACCTCTTCCCTACTGAAAATACAAAAATTAGCCAGGCCTGGTGGCAGGCACCTGTAACCCCAGCTACTCAAGAGGCTGAGGCACAAGAATTGCTTGAACCCGGGAGGTGGAGGTTGCAGTGAGCCAAGGTTGCACGACTGCACTCCAGCCTGGGCAACAGAGCGAGACTCCATCTCAAAAAAAAAAAAAGAAAAGAAAAAAATGAATAAACAATGAATAAACTGATCATCAACAAAATTAAAAGCTTCTGCTTGTCAAAAATATAACATTAAGAAAATTAAAGGCAAGGGGATGAAAATTAAAAGAAATTCCTTTACATTCTACCATGTAGACTGAAAATTTTTTTTTCTGGTTTGCTGCTGCAATTTGCATTTCTCTGATGAGACTGAGGCTGAACACTTTTCTATAGATTTCTTGGCCGTGCAAACCTTTTGCACGTGGTGGTGATTCTACATATGGATGGAAATTATTGCATTTCCTCTGCCTTTCAGGTTGTGCCTCTATGACATGATCCAGTCCAGAGTAACACTGATGGCTCAGCACGGATCTGATCAACACCAGGTTCTTGTCTGTACCAAGTTGGTGGAGCCCTTCCACGCCCAGGTGGGCTCCCTGTACATTGTCCTTGGGGAGCTCCAGCACCAGCAGGGTGAGCTGCGGCCTCACACCCCCTTTCTCCTCCTGGGGCCTGAGCTGGGGCAGCCTTTGGGGCAGTCAGTGAGGAATGGGCTCGTGACCCGACAGCAGTGTCTCATCAGGGTTAATGTTTTTTCCAAATCAGCCCACAAGTTCAAGGACTCTTGAGGATTCAATTCAGAGTGGACTGGTCACATGGTGCCAACTCAAAGACAGGGTGGCTGGTCAGGAGTTCAAGACCAGCCTAGCCAACATGGCGAAACCCCGTGCCTACTAAAAGTACAAAACTTAGCTGGGCATGGTGGCATGTGCCTGTAGTCCCAGCCACTCAGGAGACTGAGGCAGGAGAATCACTTGAACCAGGGAGGTAGAGGTTGCAGTGAGCCCAGATCGTTCCATTGCACTCCAGCCTGGATGACAGAGTGAGACTCCATCTCAAAAAAAAAAAGACAGGTACAGTGAAGAGATGGTCCCCCATGGGGAAGCGAGAATGAAGAGAGAGAAACCACTAATTTCTCAAGGCCTAATGCACCAGGTCTGAGGCGAGGCAGTTTGCTTAGATCTTTTTGAATTTGTCTGTCAGCTC